AACTAAGAAAAATTAAAAAAAAAAAAATTTGACGAGCCACGAGCCAAGCCGGCTCATGAGCTCGCGAGCTCGTGGGCCGAGCCGAGCTCGCCCACGAGCAAACGAGCCACGAGTAGCTCTGCTCGTGAGCTCGTGGCTCGTTTCCACGAGCCCGAGCTGAGTTAATGGCTTAAAGGGCCGAGCCGGCCCGACTCGGCCCATTGACAACACTATAAACCAATGGATGAATGATAGTTTAGTTGTGTATGTTAAAAAGTATGTATTTAATAAAATTGGTAACGAGACTATTATATGCCGTTTTCAAAGTATGAGAAGTCGTAAGGAACAATTGTAAAAAAAGTACTACATTTTGAATATTATCTTTATTGTCTAATTTGAAATTATTTTTTGCATTATTCTGTCTCGCCCCCCTGAAACATAATCCTGAGTCCGCCCCTGTTGATGAAGGTGTGTCAATGATAGTCGATAATGCCAATACTGGTAATTCCATTCGAAATCGTCAATTAATATTTTTTGTCATATAAATTACAGTCTCTGTTTGAGCCACATTAAATTTTTATTCTCATTCTTCTACTCATTTTCAACCACACATTTTTCAATAAAATAATATTTTCCATCATATTAATAACTTTTCCTTCATTTGCAACCACCAATTCTCCATCAATTTATTATTTCAAAATACATTATTTCAAAATAATGTGGATCAAACACACCAACAATAATATTGTCCTCAATCACAGACGAATTTTTTATCGATGGACATTTATTTTGTTTAATATATTATGTTAATATGTAAATAATTCAATAAGGGTTTGTGCTATCACTCCCCCAAGAATGACTTTTAAGATTAAAATCCCAAATTAATATCGCATTAAAGGTTGAAAGCTCATCTGAGCAATTCAATGGCATAAAACACAAATGGACATTCAAATTTCATAGTTAGTATTATCAAATGATCTAACATACTTCAGAATAAAATCTCACGTCCACTGAAAGACTCGGTATAACATCTAATTTATAAATTTTATCAAAATCAAACATTAATCTGAACAACATATTTATAACTACTACTCATTTATTATTCGCATTAGTGGAACCCATAACTATCCATCTTATTATTTCTCTTTGTAAATTATATATAAATTTGTCGAACGGAAGTTTAAGCCCCTGTTTGATACTGATTGAAATCTAAATTAAAGTTAACAATTAATTCTAACAATATATTTTATGTGATACACAACTTTTCAATCATATATTTAGTTAATTTTTACAATTATCCTCCATG